AAATTTAAGAAAGTGTGGTATTAATGTGTTTGGATAAAACTTGTTAGCATTTCTGTTATATGATTTTTTTATGGAAAATATAAAATTTTGAAAATTAAAAAATTCTAATAACAAAATAAAAAAATAATGGAAGGTAAGGTATTAAAGTCATAAAAAAACTCTTGATTCTTTTAGAAAAGATAGTAAATTTAAATGAAATTATTCAGTAATAAGTCAAAAATAGGACAAATAACTTAGAGTTTAAAACTTTTAATAACTGATTCTATGATAATGAATAGATATTTTTTTTTGTTTAATTATTTATTTTTTGCGTTATTTTAAGTTAATAAAAAATAGTTTGTTAGTGTTGTAATAAGACAAAGTTATAGGATAAGTCAAACATTTAATAAATGATGTAGAAGATTATTTTTTCATGTGGAAATATATCTCATATTAGTTGGTTATTTTTATCACAAAAAAGTATTCTAAAAATAATAATATTGCGTGTCAAAAATAATTAATAAGTTATTAAATATTATATTTTTAGTTTTTATATATCTTTTAAGAGATTTTTGAATTTTGCTTTGTTGTTATATCGACTGATTTCAATATGAAGAATTTATTTTGTTTTTAGTACAAGTTGATGAGAAGAGAGAGTGGATATTTTTATGAAAATAACAGTTTTGTGATAATATGAAGAAGACAGCTATTTGTTATAGTTAGATATTCTAAGTTATTAAAGAAAAGACATCATATAGAAATAAAAGGATTTAAAGATTAGAGTTAAGTATTTGTTGTCAGTTTGCTAAATATATATTACATAAGAAATAATTTAAATAAAAATAGTAAGAACTAATAAAAGTCAATTACAATGAATATAATGATATTAGTTTATTATTTAATTTCATTTGTTTATAGTGAAGAGACTATTTGTGGTGATGGAGAAAGAAATTTATTTTATGAAGAGTGTGATAGTGTTGCTTTTTGTTCAAATTGTAAATGTGAATATGGATATTCTTATGATAAAGAAAAAAATGTATGTAATCCACAATGTGATATTAATGGTTGTTTGAGTGGTTGTGATGCTTCACAGTCATGTTCAAAATGTAATATTAATGAAGGATATTATGAAGATTGTCATGGATGTCAAAATGGTTATTTTCAACAAGGATTTATGAAATGTATTAAAGTAACTGATGAACTAAAAGCTACAGTAAGAAGTTGTAAAAAAGTTATAGAAGCAAGAGACTTAACTTATATTCGTAAACTAGATTTTATTAGTGGAACATCTAAAATTTTAAATTTAAAAAAGAGTGAAGCAGTTTTGTCAGTAGAAAATTGTTTTGATAGACTTGAATCAAAAACACCTTATTCGTATGGATTTTGGTTTGAAATTAATACAAAAGAAGAAGGATATATTTCTATTGAAACAACAAGACATTATTTTAATTATGTTATTGATTATTATATTCTTCAAGGAAAAGAAATTGGAGAAGATACGCGAATTACAATATTAAATAATTGTAGAGATGATTTAGAACCAAATACATCTGAAGACTGTGAATTTGAGAATGATGATATTGATTGGTATATTCTTGATTCTCATGTTATTACTCATGTTGTTCCTGGAATTCCAAAATATGTATTCATTTCAATGGCATTTGCTGATATATTTACAAAAGACCCTATTGTTTTGTTCACATTTCAAAAAAATGCATGTGGTTCATTTTATGAAGAGGTTCTTTGGAATGATATTATAAATGGATCAAGTATTAAATTGTTGAAAAGATCAAATATGTTTCCTTCTACTAATAAATGTATTAACACTCTTCAATATGGTTCTTGGTTCTTGATCAGAGGAGTTGAACAATCTATATCAATCTCTACATGTGATACTGAAAATGGTGTTAATGCTGGATTTAATGTGATAGAAGTTGATTCTGGACTGATTAATTCAACATTATCTTGTTCAGAAGATAATCCAACTGCAAAATGTGTTGCTACTGGTTCAAAGAGTTGTGGGAATGGAGATACTTATCATTCAAAAGCTATAGTTTCTTTAAAACCAGGAAAGAATTATTTTATATTTTTGACAACAAGTAATTACAACAAGTTCAAGTAAGAATGACTATTAAAGTT